CATTGTTGTCGCTGATTTTGCACTTGCATATACATTGTTTCACATCACAACATAAACGCAGTATAGGGAAAATACACCAAGATTTAACGAGGTTCGACAACTGACTACGTGCTCGGGAGCCACACAGTAATTTCTTATTAATTTCAAGAAATTACAAAGCTTAGAGCAGATCTCAAACTGAGATCTCTCAATAAATACTAAATCAATATTGTAGCTACAGTGATGATCTCTCTTTTAGTCCCCCACAATAAAATTCTCCTTAAATTTTCTTAAATCTCCCCTCAAAATCAGAGCGCTGGAGAAAAATGGGAAAAACGCAGAAGGGGAAAACGCCGCCGCTGGAAAAATGACGAGGAGAAGAGCACACATCTCGTATCCTGGGGTTTCCCTTTTATAGGGAAACCCTAGCGATAGGCTGGCGACCGCTTGTGAGCTAGCCTGCAGCGCTTGAGCTTGGGCTCGCCTGCAGCGAGTCCCGCCTGAAGATCCTCGTGCTCGCCTGCAACTCTGGACCTCGCCCGCTCGCCTACAGATCTCGCCCGCCAGATCCTAACCTCGCCAGCAAGGAGTCGCTCGAGCTCGCCTGATCCCGACCTCGAGCTCACCTGATCCCGACCTCGAGCTCATTTGGACTTCGCCTGCTCGAGCTCGCCTGAGTTGGAGTCCCCTCGAGCTCGCCTGTGTGTCCACGACCTCGCCTGAAGCCGCCTGACAGGTTTGGTCGACACCCCCAATTCCAACATTTCTTGACTGCAGCTTTTCTTTCTGCTGTGTTAGTAGTTTGATAAATATGGACGAAGTCTGTGCAAAATATTTGTACGATGGCAAATGAACTCTAGTGTCGGCTTCTTCTGTTGATGCACCATCTCTGACAATAGAGACAGATGAGAATGTGAATTTCTAGGAGCACTAATGAGTTCATCAACTATATGATTGGTTTTGACAATTGTTATCTTTTTGTGAATTCACTATTGATCAATTTTTGCGGTCATTTATGAAGCGGAATGGATCTCAACGTCTTTGGCCTCGGTTGCAAACCATGATCAGCAAGAAGTTCTTGTCAATTTTAAGACTTCCTTTCAAGAAACTCTGATATGCTGTGAAAAGGGCTAACATGTTTATTGGGTAGTCAGCTTGAGCTTAACTGTTATGTGAGATATTTATGTCAGACTTCAGGTTCCTATGTTGCCTGTCCTAATAAATAGTCTCGCTTTTCTGTCATTGAATTGGGAACTAGATGAGCTAATCAAGTGAAATCCTTCTCCTAATAAATAGTCTCGCTTTTCTGTCATTGAATTGGGAACTAGATGAGCTAATCAAGTGAAATCCTTCTGATTGTTAGAGCAATTAGATGATTTGCATTGAATTGGGAACTAGATGAGCTAATCAAGTGAAATCCTTCTGATTGTTAGAGCAATTAGATGATTTGGCATTGACAGCAGATTCATGTCACTTTGGCTTGCTAATTTTCTTTTGGATCATATTTTTGAAGATCAGGTTGGTTTAGTGAATCAAAGGTTTTTTCTGTCTTTAGCTCATAACTTGTATATCAAATTTGTTAGTATGATCCGTATGGATATTAACATGTAATAACATAATTGTCTACAGGTTAGGTCTTTATACCTCAGATTTAAAGCTTGTGATGGTGTAGAAATCCCTCGGAATATAAACCTCACATTTAACTAGACTATGTAATTCAATTGAAACAGAGGAATATAGTAGAAAAAAGTGTGGGGAGAGAATTGAAAGATAAGGCATGCCAAATACAAAGTAATTTCATTTCTGTAAAACATAAACTTGAGGTTGCAGGCTGTTTCTATCAAATAAGGAAAATTTCTGGACATCTGAGAGAACAATTGAGAAGCTTTTGTGGGATATGTTTTTACTCTTCTAGCTAGTTATTGGTACAAAGATACATTTAAACCTTTTGAGTAGATCTGGTAGAGTAATCCTAGTAATTAGTTTAGCTGAAATGATTATCAACTGTTTGGAGCCCATCACTTGATAATTTTGATGTTTCTATTTTCCTTCAGAATTGTGAATGATGTATAAAAGCTCAAGAACTATACGATTGTAGCCGGATGACAAAATGAAACTCTCAGATGCCCATTTTGTTATATAATAAAAATGGATCAACTATCAAGTTCAAATAGAGGGAAGTTACTCCAAAGTGCAAATACCTCTGGTAGGTAGATGGCAAAGAAAAATACAAGAGTATCTTACGAGAGTAGGAAGTTGGTTGAGATTTTGCTGTCATTGATGATTCTATTTTAGGAACTTGCTGAGGTCTTCATGTTGAGTCAAAGTAGAGAAACTGGGTTAGATGCTTCAAGAGTGTAAGATGTTGTGAGCTGTTGTGCAGGTAAAACCGGTTTGGCTTGTATTTATTTATCTTTTGAAGGAAGGAATAAATGATATCTTGCAGGAAGTCAGATTTACTAGGTCAGAAATATCAGAAGAAAAGATCTTCGCCTTTTTTTCTGGCGAAGATCTTCACCATTATCATCACTATTTATGCCTTCCCCAACCAAAATGGGTTGGTTATGGAGTACAAGATGTTGGGAAGCAAAGACTAGAATCGCAGGCCCAAGATCAATATTAGAGAAGATGAATCAAACTGCCGAATAAACAACAACACAATAGCGACAATCGCATTCGACGCTAAAAGATAACATGGTTCGGCCACAATCCGGGCCTACGTCCACAAACATGAAGGAGGGACTTTCCACTATATCCACAAGAAGAGAACAATACAACATCCAACACTCAAAAGTTTAAACAAGCTTGACACACAAAGAACAATGGGTAAATAAATAGGAAAATACAAGGGTTACCTCACGAGCTCCAACCATCCAACCCACTTAAAGAGTCACCTTCTAACAACAAGTTGAAGCCAACCAAGATCTTCAAGATGTTGTGCAAATGTTTAACAAATCAAACCAAGATGAGTTTCTCCAAACTCTTAACTTTCTTTCCCCTTTCTCTTCTTCCGTTCTCTTAAAGACTCCGCACTTAGAGAGGATAATGATATAGAATAAATGAAAGAATCCAACTCTTAGTTTCCAATTCAACTTCTCTTCATAACAGTTAAGCCCTTGTATGACTCTAGTCCCAACCCAAACATGTATGGGTTGAACCAGCATAGACAAGTATTTATACAACTTGACTAACCAAATGTTTGAGTCCATGAAAGATAAAACAGTGGCTGTTCCTATTCTTTAGATCAACCTTCATAATCAATAACTAATACCATATTATGGGGGGAAAACTATAAACAAGCGAAGAGCTTGCTTTAACTTTTAAGAGTAGATGCCGGTCATGAAAAAACACATTGTTGCACATCCAGTTTAAGCTTATGAAACCAAGGGGCTACTGTTGAAATTTCGTCTGTAACTAATCTAGAAGGAAAAAAATTGGTAGATTTCAAAAGTCCATGTATGGTGATAAAAGGTTTAACTATGCATAATGTACAAACTAAAACCTAAGTTGCATGGAAATGGGCACGAGTACTAGTACGGGTGCGGGTACGGGTAGGGGACACGACAAAACTGTAAAATGTTGGGTACGGGGACACGACAAAACTGTAAAATGTTGGGTACGGGGACACGACTACATATATATATATATTAAATTAATAATGTACATGAGATAATTTTTTCTGCTTCATGTGTCATTAGAATTAAAATTTCAATCACATTTTTGTGTTTATTTTATCATATTGATTATTGTGAATTGTAAACTACTCATTTTTTTACTAGACATCTAAACAACCCATTAACTATATAGTTTTGAACTTGGGTATGGACTGAAACAAACCCGACTTGTATCCCATTGGTTTCAAAAGACGGATGTGAAGTGTAAGCTCTACATCCAGGAAGTCTTTGACAAGTGTTTTAAATTAACACATATATCGTATAATTAAGTACATGTTGTAATAAATGCATGCATATATTCAAGAAGTGTCCATGAAGTTTGGGTACGGGAAAGTGTCGGGTACGTGTCCGGTACGGGTACAGCTTCAATAATGAAGTACCCGGGTAACATAGACTAAAACTATATGTTTGACACTGCAAACAGAATGGGAATTTTGGATGCAGCTTTATTTTGAATAGTGACAGTAAATGCATGATTCATGTTTACAGTAAACACATGATTCATGTTTTCACTCAGGAGGGGATCACTGCACTGTAGAGGATTGCAGCTGAATGGTATATTTTTTGAAAAAATTGCATCTTGAAAGCACCATTATTCTTGAACTTAGAACCATCTGTGATATATTTGTAACATATCAATTTAAGAATTCTGAAGATTGAGTTGTGACTACCTCCTCAATGGCAGGAACTCTACCAAATTTCTGTCAATATAGAATTTTTTTTTAAAGTTTTATGCAGGACAATTGTTTAAACATGGATTTTCTAGTTAGGAGGATTTTTAGGATCATTGTTTTGAAGCAGCAAGGAATAAGAGTAACACCTAACTAGCAAAGGCGAGCCATAACATTGATCGTAATTACAAAAACTGGGGCAAGAAAATAGACATGACCTTTGTAATTTAACAAAGGTGACCCCTAAAAGACCTGGGAGAAAAAAGACTCATGTTGCTCGACCAGAAGTTTGTGGTAAAAGATATTTTTATGTGATCTTTGTCGATGATTTAGTAGAGTTTCCAAGTTGGTCGATGTTTAAAAATTCTGATATGCTAAATGCAAGGGATCCGCAGTCCTGGGTAAGTTTTGCATGTAAAAATTACCGGGGATTGCCAACCCCAGATATTTAACAGATAGAATTTTTTTAAATAATCGACCAACTTTCTGAAAGTTGGTCAATTTTTATTATTAGATGTACACTGCGTCCAATTTTGTAATTAAATTTCAAATATTGTTTCTTTTCTTTAAAACAGATATTGTCTATTTTAAAACACTGCCCATCCGCAATGGGTTTATTTTGGAGAGTCGTGTCTCTTTACTTCTCTAACTCATTTTCCAAATTGGAGGATTTCAGGTCCACATGTGTAACAAGCTTGCCAGCCGGCATGTGCGAGTAGGACTTGCTGACCCCAGTGAAGTTCCTCGCTGTGATATATGCGAAAATGCTCCTGGTATTTTTTTTGTGTGTGGGTGTGTCGTCTTTGCTTCATTCATTTTTCCATTTCTCTTTCAGTGAATTAAGTATACCCCCTTGGATATGTAGCTTTCTTTTACTGTGAGATAGATGGAACTTCCCTTTGCTTGCAATGTGATATGATTGTACATGTCGGAGGAAAAAGAAGCCATGGAAGGTATCTCCTGCTAAGGCAGATGGTTGAGGTTGGTATATCCCTTTCAGAAAAAGTTTCAAGAGAAAAGTTCATAGAACCCCTAAAAAGCTTGGCCCATGTTGAGATAACCCTTAAAAATTTGAAAATTGTTACTTAAATCCTAAAATTTGTAGTTCCTTTGCAAAACCGCCATAACGTTTCAACTGACGCCCAAAAGGTGTAAGCCCCCACCTTTTTTCAACATACCACCTAACTTTCAACATATTATTTTCTGAGATGCCCCAACTTTCAACAAAATTTTTAGATAACCACCAACTTTCAACATTATGTTCAGAAAACCCAATGAACTTTTGATAAAGTTTCAGAAAATCCCCATTACAAAGTTAGGGGTGAATGTTGAAAAAAAATAAAAAATTATGGGGGTTTGCGGAAGGCCTAAAGGTTTTGGTTCGTTAACTGACATTGTCAAAATTTTTGGAGGTTGTCACAAGATGAACCAAACTTTGTGGGGGGTTTTGTGAACTTTACCCTAACTTCTAGATTTCAGAGATCTGATGTTTATCTTAGTCTAATATTCATCTTCTGAATTTGCTGAAAGATATGTTTCTTATCATTATTTAGTTTCCTGGGGATATACAAAGCCATGTTGAAAATGGAAAGGATCAGAATCATGAGTTGATAATGAAAGAGAGAATGCAAAATCACATGGTATCAGCTGCTGCTCCTTTAGATGCTAACAGTGATGGTCATGGAAAGATTGGCACAAAGATGATTGATCTAAACACGAGACCTTATCGAACCCTTGGGCAGGCATCAAGCTCTAGGGTATGCATCCTTTGTATTATTATTATTATTGTTATTATTTTCACTGTATCTACGTTACATCTGAGAAACAGAAATTTTCTGACTACTAATTTCATCATTTTATTTTCTCATGAATGACGGGAAAGGGCATGGATCATCTGAGAGAAAGCAACAACAATGGTTCATGATTACATCCTTTTGAGGGAATCCAGAGAACAGATGTTAGTAGTGAGGTATAATTCAATAGTGGTGTTATGTATTACCCTTCACTCTTTTGTTTCATTGTAGCAGTAACAGTTTTCACTGAATATATATACCTTCTGAAATTCGGCGTTTTATTTTCTTCTCCTTTTTAGTTCTAAGAATCTAAGGAACTGCATCCAACCACACTAGTATCAAGATGATAGAAGGGTACAAGAGTAGCATCACAGATTTAACCCAAGGTTTAGTTATCCTTACAGCAGCTAAATGCTGAAATAGTCAAATTATGTTGGGTCTTTTTCAGCACTGTATCTGCATTTGAAAACATTTAGGCTTGCATGCCGAGAGAAATACAGAATAGACGTTGATCCATTCCACCCCGAGAATGAACCCTTTGTATCAACAAATTGTAGATAGAATCATGACTTAGGAATTGATAACTTGGTCTCCAATACTGAAGCAATGGCAGCACTCAGCTTCTTGTTGACCTCAGAGTTAAGGCACAGATCCTTTGAGCACCACCATCACATACCTCTCAGGCTTGCCGATGACATTGGTGACAGTCTTGAGGTCTGAGAGAGGATGGCTGAGGTGTCGATTTTCTCAAGGCTGACGTTGGTGGAAAGATTTAGGCACGGTCTTTTTTCGTTAATTGGATAATGGGCTCGCAACATATTTAGGGTGTTTCGTGTTGTCAAGATATTGTATCTAAGTGCATTGTAGTTCTGATGTTTTGGTGTCTGAGTGTACTACTGTATGCTACAAGTATTCTCTCCCCTCGAGTTCTGAATCCTGGTTTTATCAACTTTGAGTAATGTTACAGAAAGCTTAAGTGACATTTGTTGCATGTTCCAGTAAATTATTTCCGAACCATCCACCAGTTTTTTAGTTAGGGATCAGCCCAGGAAAGGATCATACATTTTGTCAAGACCTTGGGAGCATTTTCATACTATTCGAAAGAGTTGATACTGGTTAGATCTCTTTCATCTAATCATTGTTGAACTCACTTCTATGAATTTCGCTACGCCATCTAGTGCCATAAAAAGTTGTAAAAATTACCAGTCACAATTGAACTATCCGCTTTGCACCTACATGCCAAAATAACTTTTCGGATGTTTTTCTTCGGTCATCATGTACTGCGAACGTCCATACATTCAACGGTGACCATTCGCTCTCGTCATGAGCCTAATACATACTGTCGATCTTTCAAATCTAAGGATAGCAGCGGTGGAGCCAGGATCCATGGGATCGGTAACCAATAGTGAGGACAATATTAAAACTAAGGTCGGTCTCAAGAACAGCTGACATTGAGGGCAACATTAAGGCAATATTAAAGACACGTCTCAAGAATAAAATGATTTTAGCAGGGACTTTTGTCCACGAGGGGGTCCGCTTGTGCCTAGCGTTGCTCTTTGTCCACGCTTTGCTCTACATTGCGATAGACCTATCCTCAACATTGCATCAAAACATTAGAACAGCGATACTAATCAATTCTCTTGTGATACGTTGTGTTGTTGTTGTACATTCTGGTATGTATTTGCATCATATATTTTCGATGGATTAGTGCATCCTTACTGGTATCTTTATTCTAAAATGTTCATCATTTAAAAAAAAAATTTAATAATAAGAATATACCCTCAAACTCAAGTTTAAAACCAAATCGAATTTAATCCCATCCGATTGGAGTTCGCATTCGAATTCAAATTTCTCAAAACAAACGGGATATGAATTCGAATCCAAATACTACAGTATTTAATTCTAATTCGGTTGGTTTCCACGTTTATTTGTGTTTGTGTACATTCCTGTGGGTAGTCCGTGAAGATGTTTACATAATACCATCAAAAGGGGGGAAATCTATTCCTCTATAATAATGAGAGGATCCAAGATTCACTATTCATGTTACAGTAAAATATTATAGCATTGTTACTGTAGCACAAACAGGAGGATCCAGGACCCGCTATTTACGCTACAATAATCACTGTAGCACAGGCGGGTACTGTAGTGGTTTGAAAAAAATATTACTGTAGTATCACCACTGTAGCTTAGGAGGATACCGTAACATTAAAAATGTTACTGTAACACTAAAAAACTGTATTTAAATACAGAATTACTATAGCGAAAAAAAAAAAGACTGCGATTTGCAAGGGATGCTCAATAGTAAGAATGAATGGGTAAATCCCACGGCCTAGTTGACGTAAAACACAAGGTACACCTTTTTCAGATCCTGCACGCAATAAAATAAACCTCTCCGGATCTGCATCCCAAACATCATGTGCCCGTGTCGAAATACACGGCAAAACAATCCCCCGAAACCGGACTGGTGTTTTCCTCCAATAATCACCCAACCCGGCCCCGGCCACCCACATGATAGTTAGGGGAGCAATCAAGAACCTTGTATGCAAAAGGTACATTGCCGAACATGCCCTTATAATCTTTTTACCATTTTTAGCATTTGCCAAAAACAACAAAGAAGGAAAAGACTCTGTTCTGTCGGGTCCAAACCAAGCTCGATCCAAGTGGATGACCAACCGATCGATGTCTCAGAATAGAAGCGCGTCCTCATCAAGATTGCACCCCAACTCGCCGACCAACCCTAGCTGTACTCCCAACAATAATAATACGCCTTGAGCGAAACCTACACTTCTCAACACGCTACTCGTCAGCCTCAGTTTTCTTTACAACTTAATTTTGTATATATTATTGATCACATATATATATAACAAAATATCAACTACTCCTATAGCAAATTATCAAGGATCCAAGTTAGATCAATGGAAGCAAGTTGGAGCTGCGATGCGACCGAGTTGAGACTTGGCTTGCCCGGAAACCAAGCGGTTGACGAACCGAGTCATAAACGCGCTTTCACGGAGGACAACAACAACAATGAATCCAAGTAAGTGTGTACATGCAGTGATAATCTCGTGATGAAATATTTGGAGCAACTATAATTATTGCAAGCATTGTAATTGATTTTGATGAGCAATTTTAAAAAAAAATGGCAGGGTACAAATTGTAGGGTGGCCGCCGGTGAGATCTCACCGGATAAAGGCCGTGCAGAAGAGGAAACCGGCGAAGGAGGAGGAGGAGGAGGACATTAGTAGTACGTCAATGTACGTGAAGGTGAGCATGGATGGGAGCTCCATACTTGAGGAAGATTGATCTCAAGGTTTACGAGGGTTACAAGGACCTTAGGTACAATTTGGAGGATATGTTCACTAGCTTTTTACTTGGTAAGTGAAAAATTAGTTCGAGGTGAGGAGAGAAAAAAAAAAGAAGTTTGGCCTATTTTGAGATATTCGCTCAAAATGTTTGGATATGTCACTTGACCTCCAAAAACTCCCGTGTTGTTTGAAGTAGATTCCAGAAAATGTAAAACTTTTTGGAGTTAGGTGGCGTTTGCAATCCCTTTTTTGACTTGTCTTAAAATGAGCCAAACCTCTTTGAAGGGTTTGTGAAATTTATAAATTGATGAAGAAATTATCTTACTTATATATTGTTGTTTATTTTGTATCACAGGTGAGCATGTGATTACGTATGAGGATAAAGATGGGGATTGGATGATGGTTGGCGATGTTCCTTGGGAGTAAGTATTTTTAATTAATATTTAAAACCAATTTTCTTAATAATTAATTTTCTCCTAAACGTGATTTTAAATAGCTTTTATTTTTTTTCTATGTAGGATGTTTATCTCAATATGCAAGAGGGTGAGAATTATGAAAGGGTCTGAAGCAAGAGGCTTGGGTTCAAGCCTTTGACGGAAACATACCTATTCTTCTCAGATTTCTCATACGAAAAGAAAAAGTTGCGCTCGCCTAATGGATTTTCAATCACATTTCCTTTCTATTTATCTCCCTTTTTTTCTCTTGGTTTGCGCTGACCAAGTTGTGGAAGCTTTTGAAGAAATGCTTGCTTTTGGATTTCTTAGATGGGTCTGAAGAGCTCTTCAAAGACCAAAGAGGGAACAGAAGAAAAAAAGAAAAAAATAAATTGAAAGAAAAGAAATATGAGAAGCTAAAGATATATGAATATTGTATAAATTTCTGCATAGTCTTTTTCATTTTCAAGAAAGTTTGTGTAATGATAAAATTTGACTTGATGAAGAGGTGTTAGCTCAGCGTATATTGGTTGGATGCTTTTGCGTAAAGGTGTGTTTGGCAACCTAGTAAAAATGGACCAGATTGGGCTGTGGAATTGGTTGTGGTTTAGTTATGGACAAGCTTCCCCTTGATCTATAACTAAAACAGTTTAAAACCTTAAAATTGAACTAAAAACAAATTGAGTCATTTTTGGTCTAGTTTCTGCCTATCAAAAAACACCCTATGACTAAAAACTAGATTCCACTTTTATAAAGTTTTCAAATAAGACTTCAATAAAGTCATACCCTGTTTGTACCAACAAGGCAACAAATGGCCTAAATTTGATAGTTTTAATTAGACTGTAAGAGTTATACTTGAAGGAAGAGAAAAAAAATGAGATTAGACAAAAACGAGATACATAAAGTTGTTGGGAAATAGCCTTTTATTTTGGGAAATTCTAGTTGAGCTTGGATTGGGGATTCAATTTGATTGGAAAGAATCAATTACAATTGAAATTAAATTCTAACAGAAGAAAATTAGAATTGATAATGTAAATCAAAGGAGGAGTCCTACATGAATTCAGTAGTGGAGAAAACTCTTTAAATACCCATTGAGAGGTTCATTGTAAAGCAAGTCATATGAAAGTCAATGAGAGTTGCATATTGTAAGAGAGAAGGGGAGAGTACTACAGAGACAAATCCATGGTTTTGAGAGATCTTTTAGTGCGATTGAGAGAGTATTTCTTGTGGAATCTATCTAGATCACAAGGATAGATTATCTTGTAATCTCTACAAAAAAACACGACTCAATTTTCTCCTTGTGGATATAGGCAATTGCCAAACTACGTACGTCCAGTTGTTTCTCAGAGTTTCTTCATCTCTCAGTGCTCTATTGGTCTATGAAGAATGAGAAGATCTAATCAGGTATTTCGGCGACACTTCCATAGGCTATGCTTTCGCATAGATCACCGGTTGGCATAATGATCAGCGTCGGGTTAGGGGTGACGTACGCCAACAACTATATCAAACTGGCAGGTGATACCAACAACTGGTATCAGAGCTAAATT